TTCAGAGAGATCAGTATTTCGGAAAATTGCATTTATGAACATTTGATATGCCCAAATATATTTGAGTATTGCAGACTGCATAGGTGTGATGCGAGAATACTATATGCAGGTTGCTCTGAATTGAGAAAATACGAAAATATTCATATTTCCTATCCATATTGGGGTGTTGTAGTTCCTAACATGAACACGCTTTGGATGTGGTATCAGACGTGTTTGTTTGGTAATTTATATTGATTATATTAATACTAAGAACGATAGAACCTTATATGTCAAGTGGTTTTTCCACTTTTCGCCCCCCCCCCCGGAATCAGCACTAATAATGTGCCCCACGCCATAGAGCTGTAACAGGATAGAGAACGAACAACCAAACGAAAAAAGAAATCATCGGCCGTAGAAATTATTGACTAACTCAGTGTGTGATATTCCGTTCTTTCACCGTCTCAAAGACTGTATATCCAAACAATCTCAGTATTTAAGATTTGAGGCTTTCACGGCGCTGACTATGAAGAAAGCAGTCTTCTGGGATTTGGCACAGTCTGATTTTACCGGTTCTCACGGTCTCTTCGCTTGCAGATTTCTTATATTTTTTCTTCTACCCTGAAGATGGAGGCGATACGTTCCTCCGAAACGTCGGTTAACACCACATATACTCGGTGCCAAATCCCAGAAGACTGCTTTCTTCAATCTCAGTATTCTCAACGTGCAAATTCGATTTTTCTCATAGAAAATATGGAATAGACAACCCTTTCTAGCCAACAAAAAATAAGGCTGACCGCCTGAGAAAATTTTAGGGCATTTATTTGCCGCGAGAGCTTTGAATCTTACGTATTTTTTATATATGCACTTTTCAGAAAACGTATTTACATAGTATTAGGGTTACATGCTTATCCTCGTTCTCTTCTGTATCATAACTTAAAGCGGAAATTAAACATGGCCAAGTTTCCTCACATTCCGTGCCTTCCGTGCCGATTAACACGAGTTCCGTTGTACCCACTACTACTATTGGCAGCTCTGCTGCGTCTTTGTAGTCGTTGTTCCTCTTGGCGCCTGAGTGAAGCCGGGAAGTCTGTTTTGTTGTGTTGTCTCTGGTTGGAGTTCTTTTTATCAGTTTATCGAAGAAGAGTTTAGGCTTTCGTTCATTTGTGGTCCAGAACGTCCAGAAGTATGGAAGGTAAGTTGTAGGGTTGGGGTTTATTAAGTTCTTTTACTAGTATGTGATAACTGGGTTTCACGATTTCAAAAAATAGCTGTGGTTTTGGTTATGGAGCCATGTGGTATGGTGTGCAATGTAGAGGCCCCATTCACCGCCCTAATAACATCAAACTCTAAATTTTTACTTAAGTTGTATTCGTTTGTGTTGTGTGTGAATCGTTTAAAGTATATGGAGTTAAGTGTAAGGGTTCAGAATTTAACCGAGCAGTTACGTTCCACAATTGTATTCGGGAGGTGCGAGGGCTTCCTTAACTGAGGTTCTTGGTGATTTTCCACAATGCCTGCAAGAAAATGTGGTAGTGTCTCAGGCAGCGGGCACTTCCTTGGACATCTATTCTGCATATTTCATCTATCTTACGATGTGATGCTGACAGTGTCATAAAGTAACCGACTAAAAAGTTTATGTAATTTACGTTGTGTTGATTTACCCGGAATTAATATTACGTTGTGGTTGCATTTTATGCGAATTTGGAAGAGTGAGTTAAAAAAAATTAGTAAAGTCTCTATGAGCAAAGTCATCACCCTTAATTTACAATTGTACCTATGAGGAAGCATGCTTTGAATTATGTTAGGTCTTCAGGAACATATCCCTAGAATAAAATGAGACTATAACCAGTGTATTCGTGTTATTTGCTACATAATTCCACATTTATTTTTTGCTTGTTACTGAGAAATGCTGCCAGTTCTTGATAAGAGTTCTGTTATATTTGGTAAGGAGGTAATCAATGTTGGCGCACATTTCTGAGACTTTTCTTCCTATGCTTCAGACCAGTGGCTCTAAAACTCCCACTCCACAGACTATTTTCTCCTGCAGAACGTATCTCTTATGCTATTATAATAATATATCCTGACACCTGTAAAATGAGCAGTATGGTTGTAGTTCATACATTAGAAGCTCAAAATCTTTTATTCTGTGTATGATGTAGTATTGTGTACCCTGATTTCAGTTACTTATGGCTCCTGAGTAGGATGGGCCAGTACACATTTTTTACAGCTTTCCTCTTGAACATTCATGATGGACCTGCTATGGTGGAACCTGAATGGTTTCTGTACACAATTGCCTGACGTACGGGCAGCAACACAGCCCCATGACCCAGGCCTGTTATGTGCTCATTATGGTTTCAAGATGTTTATTGATCTATATACAGTCAGTTGTATTGAGTTCACTAAAAGAGAATTAATGCTCTTGCTTACGATTTTACCATTTTACAATCTCGTGTAGGTCTGATTTAGAATTAATTATGCATCGGATTACGTATAAAACAAGAACCACTTTGAAAGCTATGCAGTTGCATATAGTGACTGATGCTGATGTAGCTGTGCACAAAGCAGCAGCTGACTGCAAGCATCGCTTGTTGCCTGTGATTACTGTGTTCCTAGAAGTGGCTGCATATAGTGAAGTCACAGAGTTAATTCTAACATCTTATGCTAGGGCTCCATGAGCGTAAGTTGCAAACCAGAAATTTTGCTGTAGTTGCTTGCTTTATCATTAACATAATTTATTTTACAGTTGAAATAAATAATCGGATGACCCTCTGGATCCTGGCGAGAGCAAAGACACCAGCAATATTAGACTGGATAGGTTGTTACTCAGAAATTGAAGGCTCCAAGTTTGTAGGTTGGCAAATCTTGCCTTCTAACTTAAAGTGTGGAATCCATGGTGTCCTATAAAATATCTTTTTTGGATCTGGACCAGTGGCATTCATCCCATTAAACTAGCATTTTGCATTATCTTGAATGATCGTGGTGGATAAAGGAATGATATGTTGGTACTATAGTTCCATCTATTCAGCCAGCATCCTTTCCAGTTCTTCATATTCAGCAGCCCACTTCGTCTGGTCTTTGTAACTGTCATGCACATTGCACTTATGCTTTTCCTCAGTTTTAACAGCTTGCTTCCTAATGGTTCTCAAGATCAATTCAGGAATTCCTGTGGCATTGGCTATGTTGGCTGTATGTTGTATACTCTGTCTCCCAGGCGTGTTATGGGTTCTGCAGTCACCATGGCTGAGCGCTGGTTGGAGCTGAGCCAAAGACACGAATATGTGAAGTGTGAAAGCTCCAGAAAAGTAGCATAACTTGTTTATTACAAAAGATCGAATACAGATTGGACAACCCTTGATTTACGCTATAATCAGTGTGTAAGCTGGGACAGCATTGACTTTCACTCTCAGAGTAATGTTCCATCTGTGACAGACTGTAGGGTACTCAAGATAGAAAGTTTCAGAGTGGCCAGCGCAGGTATATATGTTGAACTACGGTACACCTGACCTTCTCAAAGTTTCCATAGCGTTTTCCAAATTTTGCTGAATATTTCCACACAAGTCTTGTAGTCTTCCACTGATGTTTTGGAATGTGCTAACCTCTTCATTGTTCACCCTACAGGGTGACAGGCATCTTCCAGCACCAGTATGGCTCCACATCAGTGACATAAATGGGGGTGATCTGAGTGTTCTTGAGGATGGGGTGACTGCAGCATGCCTAGATAAAAGCTTTGCTACAATTTAAATTACTTTAACCTTACAGCAGGATGCAAACCATATTAGGTCAAACTGTTGGGGCATACAGTGAGGACCAGTGGGAAGCCTTAGGGTCACTGCTAGTCTTTTTCTTTTTATTGCTAGTGGGGTGGGACTAAGTCCCTTGTACTGCGGCCACTTCTGGCATATTGTACCAGCCCCGGATGACAGGTGAGGGTGATTGTGGAGCAATTGGTGGAATGAAGATTGGCAGGGGAAACCGAAGTACTCGGAGAAAACCTGCCCCAGCGCCACTTTGTCCACCACAAATCCCACTTGACAAGGCCCAGGATCCAACCCGGGCCGCCGTGGGGGTGGGGAAGCCAGCGACTAGCCGCTTGAGCTATGGCGCGGCCCCACTGCTAGTCTTACAGGAAATATAAATTCTCTCTGCATGATGACTCTGGGTTATGTACTTGTGGGGAGTGCAGCTACTGGACTTATGTCACTTTGCACCATAATAATTCCTTTGTTCATAAGTGTGAAGCTGGAGAACATGTGAGCACGTATTGTCTGGTGTCTGAAGGGTCATGGTCTGGTCACATTTCCATAGGTTTGATTTTTAGGTGTGGTATTTGTGATAACTTCAGGGAATGTGATGACACTTTTGTGTTATTGGGTAATTTCATTCTGTGCATGTTGAAAGTATTAGCTCTACTTGAAGTTTATGTACCTTTTATAATATGCTTAACTCCATTTCCTGATCAGTTCAGTTCTTGACATAGTGCAGAACCCTTCTCTCAGAGATTCACCTGTCCCTACTTACTAATCCAGGCCAAAGAAGAGTGTGGGGGTATTTCACGCAATAACTGCCTGCAACTGTAGAGCAACTTTGCACGGTTGGGTGCACTTGTGTCAACACAGATTGCAGAGCTCATCTGTCGTCCGCATCACTTTATTGCAGTTTTACTTCATGCATCATGGCTCCAGTTTGAAATAGAATACCCATTATAGCATTGCATAATGTGAGATCGTGGCTAATGAAGGATACCTGTACTCAGAAAGATGGGACTTATGCTGTGGTCAGTTAAGCCAAGCCTCAAGTTCTCATTGGATAGGAGGCAGCGTGAGGTGTGGAACCAATGTGACTGGTGACAAAGAGAAAGATCTCACTTCTGGCCATCAGGCTCCTCATTGGCAGTTTTTTTTCCAAGTTCCCATACAGAAAGCATACATTATGTAAAATTTTGACTCAGTTCACTTTTTTATTTCATTGCCTGCATTTTCACTTGTAACCTAGAATGTTTTTTTCTATTGTATGTGTTCTAGGTAGCAAGCTGGAGTCCTGTTTCCTACCATATTGGGAAGCAAATGAGGTCCAATGTAAAGACCAGCTGAATGATCCGAGGAACTGGAACATGGTAATGAGAACATAGTGGCAGTGTCATCACAGTACAGTACTGCTGTTGTGGGAGACAGAGGACAAGGTCCTACTGAAGGTTGTCGTATCTGCTGTAGCCTACAATCTACAAACGTGTTGGTAGTACAACAGCGCAGTTCTGTATCATAGACTAAAAGCAACAAACTGTATTTTTTTGTAGTTTTTGCTGTTATTCCATAATCAGTCTTTACTTGTGCAACCTCAATACCAAATTTCATTAAAATGCATTACGTGGTTTTCAGGATGAAACACTTAATCGCCAGACACGAAATTTCCTTTGTTTTTTCATTTTTGCGCTATGCATAAGGATCGTAGAAGGAGTCAGTAAACCACAGTGCAGTAATTTTGCCTAATTAGTATCGTAGCTCTTTTTTGGGGGGGGGGTGCAGATCTTACAACCCTGTTGGTATTTAGACTATATGCAGCTGAATTATATGGTACTGTATTTGGAATAAAGCATTTGTGGCCTAATCTGAGGTACTGTCCCAGCATTTGTCTGGAAGGGCTGAGGAAAACCACCAGGACAACTGATATCTCAGCTGAGATCCAGACTTAGCGCCTATCAAATATGAGTCTGGAGTGTTACCAGCAAGCCAGCCTGGTTGGTTAAGTGCGATACAAGTCATAGTGATTTATGAATGAGGAAGGAATTTGGTAAATTATTAGCAATAAATTTGGTGTGTGTCCTGTAATTTCAGATCCCATCCCTGAATTCAGTTGCACTTCATGATGTAGTGGACCAGCAACTTGTCAGATTCACAGGGATGATCCAGGACATGCAGAACCCTGAAATGTACCTTGAACAGTATGAGGTGCAGGACAGCATTACCAAGCAGACAACAGTCAAGATGGGCAAATACCGGGATATACCAGCCTGCGGCGTGAGTAACTTGTAACACATGTTTGCTGAGTAGAGGTAGTTCAGTTACTGGCTGCTGAATAGAGAAAGTCAGTGGCATGCATTTGTTGTCCAGTGATTCAGGTGAGCCATCTCTAAGGACAAGCACTGTTAGGTTCCTGACTCTCAGATATGCCTGATGGCAGAAGCAGGTCTGGTGTATTTGGTTTATAAATATGCCAAGATGTTGAATAGTGTTTTAAGGAGTAAAAAATTTATTGTATTACACCTTCTTCAGAAACCTTTATGTTAGATGGATAGTTAATGAAGTCTGAATACATTTGTAATATGTTTTTTTCATTCAAGGTTGTCAGTATTCTTAAAGGGTTTATTTGAAAATTGTGTTTGCTTCTTGGGCTGCAAATTGTAATGTTGAAAGCAGTCTTAGTCTGAACAATACAAATCATGATGTATCCAAAATAATATTGTGGAAATGTTATTCTAAAACTAAATAGGTGTTAAAATGTAGAAAATGAAAAGTATTCCTCCCTTATAGGCCACATTTGGGTCATGCAGTAATGTACCTCGTTGAGGCACTAAGCTACAAGCTGGAAGATTGCAGGTTTGATTCCCAATGAGGTCATTGGATTTTTCAGTGGACCTCATCCTTCCAGCCGCACTATGGCCCAGGGGTCACCTTAGCCTCTAACAGAAATGAGTACGAGGAATCTTTCTGTGGTTAAAGGGCAGCCTCACTGCCATCTGAGCCAGCTGCCTAGAAGAATGTGGGAGCCTTGACATCTCACAATTCTATGGGCTCCCATGGCCTGTTGTAGGGATAGCTTTTTATAGTTTACAGTATTATTATATGTCTCATGCAGAAAATGTGAGTCATTTGGAGATCTTCATAGGGTAGTCATTACATGAGACTTGGGGTACCAAGAAAGATGTAAAAACCAACAGAATGCTTATAATGCAGTGATAGAGTGGGCTTATAGGTGCTTTAGCATTGAGGGCTCTGGATGCCTGTATAACAATCCTCCTAGATGCCCTGCTGTTAAATTCAGTATAAAATTAATTATATGTAGAGCTGTATGAGAAAAACTGAAATATACAGGGTCATCAGAAAGGAATGCTGGGATAATAAAAGCCTGTCATTGAAAAACTGTTAAACATATCAAAATGATTGAAGTTTTAAAATTTGGCAAAAGAACGTAACTTTGGATATACTCAGTTGATGGTGGGTAGCGAGCAAAGTTCAGATGCTTTTGTCAGTTGACTAAAAGATACAACTTGCCTGCAAGGCCCGCTGTTAGACTTCCCAAGCCCCACTAGTTTTACCTTCCAGTGCGAGTCAGTGTCAGGCGAGATGTGGACCATGCAACAGAAGGCTGAATTTGTTTTATGGTATGCAGAATTGAAATCAGTTGTAACGGTGCAACGTAAGTGGCAAAGGTTTCATCCAGGAGAAAAAGCATCAGATGATAAGGCTCTGAATCATTGGTTGAAACAGTTCAAAGAAACAGGAAGTGTTGTGAAACAGAAATCTTCAGGTTGACCAGGAACATTGGAAGAGAATGTGGAGCACATTAGACAGTCCTGTGTAAGAAGCCCTAAAAAGTTGATTGCCTGTTGGAGTTTAGAATTGGGGGATTCCAAAGCCTCCAATGAAAAGTTCCCGAACACCTGGATTGGGATGTGCGCCAATCTTCTGGCATTCCAGAAGCCCAGAGCTTACCCCGATGGATTTTCTTTTTGTGGTGATACATCAAGAACATTGTGTATGGTGAAAAGATTCAGGATCTCCAGCACCTGTGGATAGGATCACAGCTGCCATCGCAGTGGTAACTGCGGATGTGAGTCAGCAGACTTGGCATGAGATCGAATGCCATCTCAGTATCTGCCAAGCAACAAATGGAACAGATATCAAAACATACTAAGGTAAGACAAAAACTTCAGACATTTCTTGGCAATTTAACGCTTGAATCATGATGATATATTTAATAGTTTTTAGTGATAGTTTTTTATAATCCTGGCATTCTTTTTCAATGATCCTGTATAGATGAATCTTTACATTGCATAACAGTTCTGTTTTATATGGAGAATGCATTTTGTGTGAGAACGTCCATGCCCAGTCACTACACAAATGTAGGGATGCCCAGAATTTTGTCTCAAAATCACACAAGAACTAATAAAAATAGAAAATTTGTCAGTGGGTGATGTTTATGGTAAAGCTGGGGTTGGAGTGAGTTCAGTTCGTTATGCTGCAATGTTAACACTTTTCTGCCCTAAGTACTCATAACTCAACTATGACTGTCAGCAGTGGTGCCAGTTGTCTTTTTGTATGCTATTGTATGGCTGCCAGCTTGCAATACAATGTCTGATTACTGAGAATCACTTTGCAGTGTAAGAAATTCAAACTTGATATCATTTTCTGAAGTTGAATCTACCCAAACGAGAGTCCGGAATGTTCATAATCTCTGCAGTATTACTGCTTTCAAGAATACTGGATTGCTTATTGTTTATTGCCTGCAGAAGTAAATTGGTTTGGTCATGGTGTACCCAATTTCAAATGAAATGTGCACCAAGAAAGGTAATGGTACAGATGAGTTGGTACCCTTATGTTACATTTATTGGTTGTAAAGTGGGCTAGCAGCTATATCAGCTAAATCAGCAGTAATGTGAGGCAGGCATGTCAACCTGCCCAATATTAACAGCCAACTGAATTCCATCTCCATGAAAGTATTGTTTGTTGTAGTCATTTTGATATTTTCCCACATCATTTAGAAGACTTGTTCAAATCTGTATACAGTAATATTCATAATTACTGTGACTGTAAAAGACATATTCTTTTTAATGGCGTAGTTAATTTATGTAAAGAATCTGAAAGAAACATGTTTCTTGAAGTTGCCTTGGTGTTACAAGCGAAATTAATCTTCCCAGTAAGATGCTTTATCAGACCCATTGCATTCCAAACTTGGTATTTGCCCATATACTCGTAGTAATTACATGCACACAATATCATCATCAGTAATCTGTCAAGACGACAGGTCAACAGTCTCTTCCAAAACAAGTCCTCCATTTAATGCGATCTAGAGCTTTCTCCTTCAAATGACAGTATCCTCTTCTGTCCCCAAGGTCATCCAGCATCTTCTTACGTCTTCTTGTCACTTCTATCCGCCCCTCTATCTTTCCTTCGATAACTTCTTTTAGAAGGCAGTTTCTGCGTAAAACATGACCAATCCAATTAGCCTTCCGTTTTCTTATTTCGTGTAGGATATTCCTCTGCTCACTGACTCTAATTAACACTTCTTCATTTCTCATATAATCGGTCCAACTGATCTTCTCCATCCTTCTCCAACACCACATTTCGAAACTTTCCAGATGTTTCTGATCTACTGCCCTAAGTGTCCAAGTTTCATTCCCATACAGAGCTAGGCTCCAAATGTAGCATTGCAATAGTTTCTTCCTCAAATTTAAGTACAATTTGCTGGTAAAAAGATTCTTCTTCTTGCTAAATGCAGCTTTTGCCACGGCAATCCTGGATTTAATTTCACTAGTACATCTTCCATCATCTGTTAACAAGCTACCCAAATATTTAAAACATTTC